GGCTCTATAGAACCGTTACCTCTGCCAAGGCTGCGGCCTGTAACTTAAAGTGTGGTCCTAAACAAAGCCCTGCAAAATTTCTGGCAGTATTAAGAAATGCTTATTTTCTGGCTGATAAGGACTCTAATCCAAACCAGCCAGAATTCAAGACCCTATTTTATGAAGCGCTACTTGCTTACATAAAATTGGGATTTGCCCAGGATTACAGAAAGGGACGCTACACACTTGATTGCCTGGTAAAAGAAAGTGACTATTTGTTCTCAATCCAACAATCCAGTGAGAGCGGGATAAAAAGAGAGACCAAAAATAGTCCTAAGATAGTGGCAGCCACTGCTGTTTCCCCTCCAAATCTAAGTTTGCAGACAGAGAGGAGATCTTACGCGGTGGTAGGCCCAATGGTTCCCCTAGATTTGCACCGCAACCTCAGCAGGTGAGGGAGGACAGGCAAGGGCCAAGGAACTACAGTAGTGGAAATGAAAAGGGTAAAAGGTATGAAAATGCCCATTACAGTGATGGAAACCAAAGGGGTCAAAGGTATCCCCCAGAGGTTCCACATCCTCACCAGAACCAACAGAGAAATTTTTATAGGAACACCAATTTTAAAAGAAATCCCAATTTTAATAGGAACCCCAATTTTAACAGGAACCCTGATTTTCATAGATCCCCTCAAAACCAGGAACACCCACAATCTCAAAGGGCTAATACAGTACCCCAGGCTCCCTAAATTACAGTGAGACCCAGGAACCTCAAGGAGCAAGGCCATGGCGTCAGGACCGGAGCAGTAGTTCTGACATAACTGGAGACACAGGAACAGGGAGAATAACCAAAATTCCTCCTACATTGAACAAATAGAGGCCCAGGTAAATAAAATGGTAGAACAAATGGAACGGCTTGTCAATAACCCATCTTCCAATCCATCTTTTTTAGGACCAGCTCCTGTGACCAACCAAGGGTCACAGAATTAATAAACAACCAGACTTCAAGTCAACAGGGGAGAACGCTGAATGAGACGACAGGAGACATGTGTCCCATCCTTGATACTCCCACAAATGGAGAATCTAGTTCTCGGGCAAAGTGGGACCAGTTGGTTATTAATTCTTCTCCTGTTTTTCAGTGTCCATTTATCCCCTCTAATACAGTTACGTCATCGGAAATCGTTGTGATTGACAAGCCAGACGGAACACCAACTTCTAGTTGTGCTTCTGTCTTTAAACAATCCAAGAGTCCCGCCAGGAAGGATAAGTGTGACATGTCTGCGAAATGCGGTGAGATAATTGCCATCCTATGTCATTAAAAGGCCCACAGATCTTCAACCACGCTAATTTCATGTGTGAGCTGACTGAATCTGATGGGAGATATTATGCTACAGTGAAGGTGCAGGATGCCAATGATCATTCTATCGTAGGCTTAATAAACACTGCATCCCAGGCTACCATTATGTCGCAGGAACATTTTAGCCAAGTGATAAATATCATGCCCAATAAGCCAAAACTTAGAAGCTTTGATAGCTCACTGATTGGTGTAGATGGAGATCCTTTGCGAGTCATGGGTACCGCATGGCTTAAACTTAAATTAGGTAATAAGGAACTTAGACACCCCATTATTATTGCCAATGTCTCAGAGCATCACATGATAATCGGGATAGATTTCCTTAAAAGGCTCAACACAATAGTCGACTGTGTGAACCAAGTACTGTGGTCACATGTCAATACCCCTATTAAGTATGAGAAACCCTATTAAATATGAGATTCCATTGATGATTCTGAAGACTATAATTCAATAGCTAGATGCCTCTTAACTATCACTATAGGTAATAAGACAGCCACCCATGTGTTTATAGTCCTAGACAATCCCCAAACTCAAATTTTTTTTGGCAACAATGTGTTACATGACTGCTTGTGGAGTCGACAAAGGGGGACCCCGAGAGATACAAAAATATGAACTTAGCCTTAAAATTCCAGCAACAGATGCCTTATGCTGTTGAGGTCTGGGCAGCCCAAAGAATTGTAATTCCCAGGGGCATAAATAATTTCTTACTCCCCATACAAGTTAAAAAGGGACATAAACTGAAGGGGTCAGATGCATTAGTATGCCTCTCCCATAGAATGCAGGGGAAAGGACTGAACATTACACACACGCCTCTAGTCAGCACACATCAGTCCCCTATGTACATTTACATACATAATATCTCAAATCAGGACATCGTCTTACCCAAGGAGACCCTCATTGGTCTAGCAGTAGAGACAGAGTATTACACATTTGGAGTCACTAACCAGGTGATTGGACTCATCCCTGATGAATATTTATCAGAGGAGCAATTAATTGAACAATCGTTCAATTCCTTACCAGAGGGTGTCTTCACCATAGATTCCATTTATCCCTTCAATTCTCAGGATGGTACCTGTAGAATCGAAGAGACATCAATTGTCTTTGATCAACCAATCAAAGAACAAGAGTACCACAAGGGGCCTGGATGGCAGGAGAATACACATTACACACCCAATGACCTAACCACAAGACTTGAAGAGGCCTATGAGATAGGACAGCTGGATTCAAGGAGTTAGTCGAAGAGATGGTAGCCTTAGCTGATGCGTGTTCCAATGATCTCGACCAACAACTGCTCTGAGAGCTTCTCCTTGCATTCCAAGAGATCTTTGCCAAGAATTCTTACGATTGTGGGACTACTGACCTACTATCAGGGATCCTGTCACCGTGCAGCCATGCGATTGTGACAGATCCCCTCGGGCCATGGTGGTGCGAGTGCGCATGCGCAGTAGCATACATGTCACCGCAAAGCAGGCTATTTAAATCTGCAATACAGTGAAATCAATGCCTTCTGGTATACAACGTCCCTGCACTCTATTACCTGATTCTGTTGCCTGTATCCTGATCTGACCTAAGAAAGAACTCCGCCTGCACCGACCCCGGCTATCCCTGACTATCCGCTTGCCTGCTCCCTTGTACTTGATCTGTTCATTTGATACTGACCCAGCTTGTCTGACTCTGCTGCACCTACTTACCTGTACCTGCACTTGGCTTGCATCCTGATGGCTGCCAGACTTACCTGCTGCTGCATCCACAGTCCTGCACCTGGTTTGCATCCTGGTCACTGCCATACTTACCTGGCTGCTGCATCCACGGTCCTGCACCTGGCCTGCATCCTGGTCACCGCCATACTTACCTGCTGCTGCACCCACGGTCCTGCACTCAGCCTGCATCCTGGTCACTGCCATACCTGCCTGCTGCCGCATCCACGCTCCTGTGTCCAGTCCCAGTCTGCATCCTGATTGCCGCCATACCTGCCTGCTGCTGCACCTACATTCCTGCATCCGCACCTGGCCTGCATCCGAATCTCCTGGGTCTTTATCAGCCAGCTACCAGCTCCAGACCTACCCGGCACTCATGCCACTCCTGGCTCTGCGCCCTCTGTTCCCACTATCAGGGGCTCCAAGCGGGAGTTGTAATAGGATGCCTCCTCTCCATGTGAGGCTCCCCAACCAGGTATGTGACACCTACACATTGCGAGGATCCAAACAGACCCGGATGCCCCACCAGTGTTTGTTAAACAGTATAGGCTTCCATTAGCTTCCTATGAATCTCTGGCAGAGATTATCAGGAAGTTACATGAAAGGGGTATAATTAAGCCCATCCATAGCTCCTATAATCACCCTATCCTAGGTATTTTAAAACCAAACGGACAATGGCGTCTGTGCGCTGACCTCCGATAACTAAACAAGCGTGTCTACATGTCAGGATGGCCTGTCCCATACACAGACCAATGTCTAGCCCAACTACAAGGATCCTGAGTTTTTACAGCCCTGGACTGTGCCTAGGGTTATTGGACCATTAAGGTTAGCGAGGAAGATCAGTACAAATTGGCTTTCAGTTTTGGTAGCCAACAGTACTGTTGGGTGCGTATGCCTTTCGGATATATAAATTCCGTCCATCAATTCACTGTTTTTATGCACAAGATGCCCTCGAGTGGGGGACATTGGCATATGTAGATGATATCCTGGTCAAAAGTACTGATATGGCCAAGTACATTACGGAACTTTGTCATGTTTTGGGCCAATTAAAAGCAGCAAGGGTTAAACTATCCCTACAAAAAGCCCAATGGTGTCGCACACGGGTAAATTTCTTAGGCCATGAAGTTACCGCGAAAGGTTTAAACCCACAAAAGAAATAGGTTGAGGCGGTTCTAAACTGTAAAGTACCTACTAATCTTAAAGAATTAAGATCATTCTTAGGTATGGTTAATTAATTACGTAAATTCATCAATAATTATGCCGAGATATGCAAACCGTTGCTTCACCTACTGAAGAAAGACGTCGAATGGTCGTGGGGTACAGAAAGATGCCATGAAGGATTTGAAGGAACATCTCACACAGGCCCCATGTCTCATGTATCCAGAGGGAGGTAAAAACTTCTATCTTGAGACAGGGTTCACGCAGGTAAGTATGAGTTCTGTTCTTTATCAACAACAAGATAATGTTAGTAAAGTAATTGCCTATGCTAGTAAAACACTGTCCCAGGTAGAAATAAAATTCAATGACTGCAAAAAAGCTCTACTATCCACCGTGTGGGCATTACAGAATATCCACAGTTATTTTCCTTGAATATACAAGGAGAGAGAGTCATTATTGAAACGGCACATCAGCCTTTACAATATTTAAAGAATGAACGTAACAGGGGAGGAAATGTGTCTAATAGCCGCATCACTGCTTGGACTTGCAAGGGTGGCCTCTTGAAATTCAACAATGACAATTGAGTGGTCATGCAACACTGTTCCCATATGAAATTTTTATCATTTTTTTGTGACAGATAGAGCTTTATTTTGGTGGTTTTTAATCACCTCTGGGTTTTTTATTTTTTCTTAAACAAACCAAAAACCAGTGAAAATTTTGAAAAAAAAAGTTTTTTTTAGTTTTTATTAAAAATTTTTGTAAATAAGTGATTTTTCTCCTTCACTGATGTGTGCTAATGAGGCTGTAGTGATGGACACTGATAGACGGCACTGGTAGTTGGCACTGATGGGCATTGACAGGCATCACTGATGGGCACTGAAAGGCAGCACTCATATATGGCACTGATAAGGTGGCACTGACTGGCACTGTTAGGCACCACTGGTGGGCACTGATAGGCGGCACTGACTGGCATTGATTGGTGGCACTGAAAGGCAGCTCAGATGGGCACGGATATGTGGCATTGATGTGCGCTGGCAGGCACTGAAATGTGGCATTGATGTGGCACTGATGGGCACTGGCAGGTGGCATGGATGAGCACTGACAGCTGGCACTGATGGACACGGACAGGTGGCTCTGCCGGGGCTACACAGATCATCAGGGCACACTGATCATCAGTGCTCTAATGATCAGTGTACATGTCCCCTCCTAGGAATGCCAATTACAGGCTCTCCTCTTGAGCTCTCAGCGTGACAGCTCGTGAGGAGAGAAATGTCGATAACCGGCATTTCCCCGTTTACATGTGATCAGCTGTGATTGGACACAGCTGATCACATGACCGAGCCAACATCTTCAGCTCTTTCTGTTGATCGGTGATCCGCTGTGTCCAAGGGATGCGCGGTTAGAATGGGAGGACGTCATATGATGTCCTCCCAGAACGAGAGAACCGCCTTGCGCCTGTCGTACTATATGGCGGGCGGGAGGCGGTTAAAGAGCTTTCCAATAGAAATTTTAGATCACAACCAGAGATATAATTAAGGACACAAAAAAAAAACATACACTGGAAACATCCAGATATTACAGACAGTCATATCTATAACTAAAGTCCATATATATCAAAGTGGGAGTTACTGGGTTCAACATCTAATAATATTATGCAAATCCATTGTATACATACAGTTTGATAATATAAGCCAGTAATAGATACAGTACATAAACCTATTATTGCCATTTATAATGACCTATAAAAACGGTTTATATGATATTATCTCATTTAGACCTGGAGAATGGGTTGAATTAAGACTCAAGTCTCTCAGATCTTCGGGGAATCTTATTCTTGCTGAACGTCCATTTCTCCATCCAATCAAACACGCTGGAAACCCCCAGCTATATCGAACATTCTGTTTTCTCATCTGTTCCAATAACGGTTTCAAAGTTCTCCTTCTTATTAATGTATCCGCTGCTAAATCAGCAAAGATCTGTATATTTATTTCTCCATATTTTGTTATTGCTCTTCCTTTTATCTCCTTCCAAAGCTCTTCTTTATCCCGAAAATTATGGAATTGCACTATTACATCTCTTGGCTTTTCCTTTCTATCTTCTTGTATGTATTTTCCTATTCTATATACTCCCTCAATTTTGAGAGGCTCTGTTATAGTTCTATTTATTATAGTATTTAGCATTCTCGTTATTATTATTACCGTCAAATCTTCTCCTTGGGAGATCTCTGGAAAGCCTTGTATCCTTAGATTGCATCTCCTATCCCTATTCTCCTGGTCTTCCAATTTATATAACAGATTTCTTTATTCTTTTCTCATTTCCATCGCCCGTTTTTCTAATTTCTGTATAATTTGGGCATGTTTATCTAGTTTTTCTTCCGTCTCCTCCACCCTTGATAATATTTGCCCAGATCTTTGTGTAATTTTGCCAGTTCCTTTTTTAGGGATCTTTCAAGTCCTTTATACATTTCTGCTATTTCTGCTTTAGTAGGCATCTGTGAGCTCTCCTCTTGTTCTTCTACTTTATCCATATCCACTTCTTCTTCCATATGTTGACTACTGTTAGCTATTCCCAGGGATAGTCTGAAACACTCCCCACCGTTTTCCCTCCCAGCTCTTACACTTATTCCCTGTTGTCTCTCTGGAGTCTGTTTCTCCTGTGAGGGTATATATTTTTTAATTGACCCTGTTTGGGAAGCCTTAGGCCCTCCTCCCTTTGATACTTTGTTTTTCATGCTGCCAGGGACTATTTCAATTTTCCACAGTTCTGGTTTGGGGGGGGGGGGGGCAATTTTTGATTTGATATCAAAATGTGATGTCTTCCATGGGTATCCCCCTCTCAGTTCTTTTCTTCCTTTTTTTTCTCCCCCCACTCCCGAACTCATCTACCCGGATCCTTTTCTTCTAGGTCTTTATCTGTTTTACATTGTCCTCCTTCTGATTTTCCTCTAAGACCCCCTGGGTGAACCCCTCCTCAGTTTACATACAGTATAGTTCCCATGCAATATATTAATCACAGTACTTTTGCTGCTCTCACTCACCCTCTTGTCCCCAATACGGCTTTTCCCCCATATGAGAGCTCTGTCATATATGCAGAAAAGGGCTTCTCTGAAAAACATTTCCCGCACTCCGAACAGGTATACAACTTCTCCTCCGTGTAAGATCTCTGATGTGTGTGAAGACTGGGCTTCACTGAAAAGTATTTCCCGCACTCAGGACAGACATATGGCTTTTCACCTGTGTAAGATCTCTGATATATGTAAAGTCTAGACTTAGCTAAGAAAACATAACATTTCCTGCAGTTAGAACAGAAGAGATTGTGTTATCACTGGTATATATAAAAATAGGACTTACATGAAAAACATTTCCCGCACTCCGGACAGGTATGCAACTTCTCCTCCGTGTAAGATCTCTGATGTGTGTGAAGACTAAGCTTCACTGAAAAGTATTTCCCGCACTCAGGACAGACATATGACTTTTCACCTGTGTTAGATCTCTGATATATGTAAAGTCTAGTTTTGTCTGAGAAAACATTTCCCGCACTTAGAACAGGGATATAGCATCTTCCTCATGTGAGGTCTCTGATATATTGCCTTTCTTTAGAATTTTTTGTTGCTATTCTGTCTCTCAGTGTTACAATACAACTACCATTCTACTTTTAGACTGATCATTTCTTTGTGAGTGGGCAAACATTCAAAATCAGCAGGGGATCAAATACTTGTTTTTTACAGAAGTCCAGCTTGCATACAGTGAAGGAAATATTTCCCGCACTCGAAACAGGAATACTTCTACCCCATGTGAGATCTCTGGTTTCTATAGAGTTTGAACTTCTCTGAGAGACTTTCCCGCACTTTAGGACATCTCTTCCTTTACTCCAAGTGAGGGGTGAGGGGGCTCCAGGTACTCTCTTCTGAAGAACATTGCACTCGACATTCCCCCTCACTCAATGAGTAGATTGCAGGGGGGGTTCATCCAGCCTGTTTCCGCATGTCTCCAGCTGCCATGGTCCTGTGTGCAGAAGGAAGAGAGCCAGTGTATCCCTTGCTCCAAGAAACGTCGGCCGGCTCCTCTGCCTCCCGAAGCTCCCTTGAAGCAGATCACCTGATCGCCCGGCATCCACTGAGCTCCGGGGAACACACAGTGCTGGGCTGAGAGCTCAGGAAGACCCGCTGCGCTGGCCGCCACTCCCGGAGGTCCTTGGTCCATGCACCCCACCAGGCAAGCCCCCCTTCTCCCCGGCTAGTCTCTCCAGGGCTTCCTGCACATCTCTCCCCTTCTCGGCAGGACACTGGAGGTGCTTGGGAGCCGGGACCCCTCACATCGAGCTGCCGCTCCAAGCCATGATCAGGCTCCTTCAACAGGAATTCATTTACTCTAACTTTTACCATGAACTGGCATCGGAGTACAATTGCATTCTTTGATCTGCAAATTTTTGTAGATTCAACGGGATGTATTGCCACCACGTTGTTCCATAAGGAAACTGCTGGCAACACGATACTTCATGCTAATAGTTCTCATCCTCCCGCACTAGTTAGAAGCATTCCTTTTGCACAATATATATCCGTTTGCGACGGAACTGTACGTACTTACAAGACTTTAAACATCAAGCCAAACTATTACAACGTCTGTAAATACGTGGATATAGTAGAACATCATTACGAAAAGCATATAACAGAGCTCTTAGTCAGGATAGAAATGTTTTGTTGTATGCTACATCTAATCGTAAAACCGACTGCTCTTTGGTAAGATTTATAACATAATATTCGGTACAGCATCAGCAATTATGTTATATATTACAACATCATTGGTATCTGTTGTGTGAGGACCCTACTTTGTATAAATACATTTCAAATTATCCTGAAATTGTATTCCGGAAAGCTCGGTCCATCAGTAACGTCCAGTCATTACACGTTGGTAGCTCGAAACACTGTCTCATCTAGTGGAGTCATTCCTTGTGGTAAATGTAGTAAATGTGGTAAATGTAATTATTGCCCTTGGGTATGGATGGGAACACGTTTCCAACTACCTAATGGGGAATTACTTTGCCATAAATTCCAGGCCAATTGTGAAACTAAGAGAGTGATCTATCTCATGTTATGTACATGTGGAGCTTACTATGTGGGTAAGACTATACGTCAGTTTAACCAGAGAATACATGACCATATTTATTATTCTTAAAATGCCCCATTAGTCGTCACCTTGGATTGTATCATAAATTTGACACATCACAGGCTACATTTACTGTGCTGGAGGTGGTTACTAAAGATCCACGTGGGGGTAATTGGGATCAGAAACTACAACATAAGTAAACTATGTGGATAGAACATCTTAATTCAACCCATTCTCCAGGTTTAAACGAAATAATATCATTTAAACCGTTTTTATAAGCCATTATAAATGGCGATAATAGGTTTATGTATCTATTACTGGCTTATATTATCAAACTGTATGTATACAATGAGTTTGCATAATATTATTAGATGTCCAACCCAGTAACTCCCTCTTGGATATATATGGACTTTAGTTATAGATATGACTGTCTGTAATATCTGGATGTTTCCAGTGTATGTTTTTTTCTGTCCTTAATTATATCTCTGGCTGTGATCTACAATTTCTATTGGAAAGCGCTTTAAGGGTCTCTAATGATTTCCCTTTGTGTCATTTTCATGATTTTTTTGCCATGCTGTAGCCTATGTTTGGAATATCTTATGGCACCAGTATTTATCCCTATTTTTGTCTAAATTGTATACTGTTCTGCAGTATTTACTATTATTGAGGTTGTCATATGTCACTAATTACGTGTGCCTGGTTCCCATTTTCTTCCTGACTCCTAGAGGCCAGACCTGCAATTGCTCCTTTTTGCCCTGGGTCTATCCCCCGGGGGAGCCTATCCTCCCCCGGGCCTGATGTGCGGCCGGGTGGCCGCGGCATCCTTTGTCCCTTTGGGTGGGATGTTCGCAGTGCGGATGGGATGGGTGCTGTCCCTCCATGTGCGCCTGAGTGGGCTTATCCAGCTGTGCATTATCCCGGCACATGCGTGGTTATGGCGCGCTGGCATCACCACCAATGGCTGGACGCAGTGACGTCATACGTTCTGACGTGGACATGCCATACCTGGGGTGCTATATTAGGCCGCGTCCTTGGGTCTCTTAGTGTTCTTCCTGAGGATGTTCAGCCTTGTTGGTTACAGGATTCATACACCTCGTGAAGGGTTTCTTCACTGTTACAGTTGTATTCCTCTTCCCGCCAGACAATTTGTGTGCTTCTATGGAATATTGACATCATTCAATAGTGGTGAGAGAGATCATTCCTAGTTGTATTAGGATGATCTGCTGTTTACATTTAATCAGTTTAAACATGAATTCCCTTTCCTTCAATTTTTGTT